ATGATGGGAAAATATTTAGGATTTTTTATTTCTAGCAAATATTAAATTTAATTACAGTAAATGTGAAGAACTGAGAAAAGATTAATTAACAAAACTGATGCAATTAAATGAATTTAGGGGCAGATATTAGATTTCTCTTCTCTGCTTCTTTTCTTTCCTTTCAGGATTAATTTTTAAGTTACTTTTGAATGGAATAAATAAAGTGAAAGTGGAAATAATAGATAATGTCTGCATTCTATTTCTATTGCTCTATGTGGAGCATCATGAAGAAGAGCTGAGGAGAGACAGGAGCAACAAAAACTAAAACAAGGAGCAGAGATTAAGGCCCACATGCAGGATGGACCAGATTAAGGCTCCTGATCCTCATCCAGAATAATCTGAACCAGAACCTGGAAGCTTTGAAACGGGTCTAGATTCGCAGTTCTACTGGTTTTCTAAAAGACCATCAGAGGTTCTCCTTTGACTTTTTCTCTCTCTGCAAAAGTTTGACTTTCTATTTTATGCTAAATAAGCTAAAGCAATCTATTAAATAAAATGAAAATTAAAAAAGCAATAATACATAGAGAAGAAAATACAAAAATATGCAAAAGAGAAACAGTTTAAAAACAATTTAAAATGATTTTTTTTCTCATTTTGTCACTATTTTCTATCACTATCCCATCAAGGGGACGGTTTCATCAATAAAGTTCAATTATTATTTAATTATTATTATTGTTTGATCTTACTCCTAAATTCAAACATAAATACAAAATAATAATAATATCTTAATATACAAAAGATAAATAAATTATTTAATCAATTAAGTCCAAATATACATTAGTGTATATATGAAATAAAATCATTTTATTAAATTAAGTTTTTTGGGTTTCTTTAACAATAAAAAAGCTTACATAAAATAAATGTACTCTTTCATTTTTATTTAATAATTAAGTTTTTGTGTTATTTTTGTATTTTAATATTTCTCTATATATTATATATCTGGATGTTTCTGGTCCAAATGGTTTAAATGAATCTTAGATTATCTCCCCTGATTGAGTGAACAGTGCCCTCTGGTGGTCATCATCAGTTACACCTGGAGTGACTCACGTTTGTGACTCCGCTGCGGTTCCGGTTCACGGTTTGGGCTTTCAGAGTGGTCTGCTCCACCCGTCTCCTCAGCGTCTCGTAGTCGTTCTGAGGGTCCAGGATCAGCTGGCAGGGATACTCGGTGGGCCGCTGGAAGAACGCCATGTCGGGATACAGCCGCCTGGAAAGGCAGCAAACCGACCCGTTCTGTTCAGCTATCGTCAGAACCTTTCTGATCGCCCGGATGAAACAGAACCAGCGCCTGGACGAAGGTCTTACCTCACATCCTTGTCGATCTGCAGCAAGATCTCGTTATCTTTGAAGTAGGTGTTCCAGCGGCTGTCTGGGTTCGGATTCAGAGGCTGAAAAAAAACAAACATTCATCACCGTCCAGGTTCTGAGAAATCCGTTTGGACTTTTCAACCAGAACACACACAGGCTGGTTACGGAAAGCAAATCAGAACCAGAAATACAGCTGGTCCAGCCTGAACCAACAGTAGATAAACAGATCTGTGGTTCCAGAACAGAAACAGAACTGACAGATTCTGTTGAGTTTTTTTTCTCCCCTCAGCGACAGAATATGAGGACATGTGGGCTGATAACAGACACCAGAACTGGCTGACCCAGCAGAACCTGCAGAGTCAAAGCAGCTCAGATATCAGAACCTTTAGGATCAGAGAAAAAACATCTGCAGCCGGTCAGAACCAGATTCACTAAGCTGTTTCAGTTTTAAATAATAGAAAATAAATGTTTGGTGAAAAAGTACCTTTAATAACCGTCTAATTCTGTCAAAGACCAAAGCAAAGTCCAGAATCGCCCTTCACAAAACTGAATACATGATACCAGAACTGATCTGTATTCCTGTCAGATTCTGATCCAAATAAACCACCTGGAACTAACATTAAAACCAGATCTAGAATATTCAGAACCGGTATAGAAGCAGGAAACAGAGACAACAGGTCCAATCATTATCGTCCAGCTTCTGGTTCTGTAGATTCACAAATGTAACCGGTTCCTAATCGGATTCAGTTGAACAGAACCAGCAGATTTCTACACTGATGTTTCAACAGAGGAGTTCAGGGCAAAACTTTATTCACCAACCGGGTCCAAAATACGATCCGATGATTTAATCTATACTGATTCAGAAGTGGCTGAATCTCATGAGGTTCTGGGACTTACGTGGTCCTCCAGCGTTACGTCTGCTCTGGACAGGCCCAGGTTGGCCTTGGCGATGCCCGGCTGGATGATCATTTCTCTGAGGAACTGAGAGTAGACCTCCCTGTGGAGAGAACAGCACACAATCAGAGGAGGCGACTGTTTGGACCGCCGGGGAAACCGTCCTGCTGGAGGCGGGGAGTTCCATCAGGATCAGAATTACTGGTTTAAAAACTAAAAACAGGTTCAAAACCTCTCAGGTTCTGATATCAGCTAGAAGAAAAACAGCCAGAACCTGAGAGAACCAAGAAAAGCCCAAAGAACAGCTGATCCACAACAAAGAATCTGGTTGCCGTGGAAACGTTCAGGATTATTAATGGAAGCAAATAAACAGAACATTTCTTGGTTCTGCCTTGTTTCATTCAGCTGCTGCTGGTCGTATCAGGCCCGATGTTCTGATCAGAACCAGCCTGAAGGTCTCTTCGGTCCAATTCTCCTACCTTTGCTTTTTGAGGAAGGACTCCCATAAGGTCTGATCCAGAGGCAGATAGTTGAGAAGGATCTGGATAAACGATAAACAGCTGGAGTCAGAACCAGGTGATACTTTCCAACAGAAATTAGGTTTTAATCAGATTAAAAGATTAAAATAGAGACGAGACGCAATAAATCACGTATTTAACTTTGAACATGTGACACGTCAGCTGTCAGTGAAAACATTATGACCAACCGTCTCCTTCTGGTCTCTTTTGGACCTGTGAAGGTTCAGCAGCAGATCCTTTGTTATCCAAAGGATGAAGCTACTGCCACCAGGGGGCGCTGGTGCTTTTCACTATGACAAACTGGGCTGTATGTTCTGACAGCTTCCATCAGAACCTAAAACTGTTCAGCAGCTCTTCGACTGGATCAGAACCTTGTTTGGACCCCATTTAGGAGCCTCAGCTGCCTGAAGAGGACGGATCTAACAGAGCTGCAGCCGAGGAAATGTCCTGACCCAGCTGACCTACTAGAACAGTTTGGTTCTCATCAGAACCTTAAGTTGATCCTTTCCTGCTCTGAGGACAGAAAGTTCCCCTTCTAACCTGTCAGTGGTCATAATGTTTCGCCAGATTGATTTAAATCTCATTAATATTGTGTGGATGAAAGAAACGGTTTTAAATCCAGAAAGAAGCAGAACTGGAAGTCTTTGGACAGAAACTGGATTAGATTTCCTCTGAAACTGTTTTCTTCAAATTTACTAGAAACTGAATTAGTTTGAAAATAATTTTGCACTTAAGTGAAATTTAACGGTTTAAAAACTGATTTAACCTGCTTTGAAAATCTATTTTGCAGCATTCAATTTTTATTTTTACCAACTCTTAGAAAATGCAGTTTCTATCTTGTCAAACAGAGACGTTTAAGTACAGAGCAATCAAACACAGATTCATGGATAGACTTTTTACATCAGGTTTAACTTATTTTATCACATTTAAGCGTCTGGAGCATCTATGAACTTAGTAGAGATCATAAAAGATGTCCGACACATCGATTAGGAAAAAAAGAACAATGCATCTTTGTTCTTTAGCCATTAGTTAATGGTTACTGCTACATCTTTTTGGTTTTATTTACATTTATACATTATATTTAAAGAATGTTTATGACTCGTCTAGTGCAGCTTAAAAAGCCATAAAGCTAAAGTGACCTGATGTAAAATGTTAATCCATGAATCGGTGTTTGATTACTTTGTGTTTGAAGGACCTGGTTTTTAATTTTCCTACTAAAACTGAACTATAGAACTGAAAGTAAAAGAATGTAAATTCATGTTTCTACTGTTAGACAAATAATTTAGGTTTCAATTTAGTGAAATTTATTTTCAAATTCCTACATTTATCTTCAAATTGCATGAATAGGGATTTTGTTAAATTCGGTGTCTGATGACACCAAGTTCTGCCCAAAGACGTCCTGCAGGCAGATGGAAGCGCACCTTCCAGCACAGCGAGCGGATCCCTTCCTCATGAGGAATTCCTGCGTCAAACAAAGAAAACCCGAATCAGATGAGACCAATGAAAGCAGAGATCAGACCGAGCGGAGGCGAAGTTTACCGCTGAAGCTCAGCTCCCTGAGAGCCGTCAGGTTGATGGTGTCCTCTGCCAACGCCGATTTAAACTCCTGGATTCTGAAGTGAGAAGGAGGCAGATGGCATAGATTAAATTACAGAAAGTTACTGGATCAGAACTGGTTTAATCTGGAGCTGGAACAGAAACTGCAGCCGAGATGTCGCTCAGTTTTTATTACATGTTCAGAAGTGAGAGACAGAAAGAGAGGAAAAAGGAGGAGAGTGAGGAAGATGTTTTGATGGATGGAGAGATTTACTGACGAATAGTTTAAAGCAGCGGTCCCCAACCACCGGGCCGCGGACCGGTACGTTGGTCATTTGGTACCGGACCACACAGAAAAAAAAATAAAAAATATATATATATACACACACATTTATCGACGATCAGAGTCTGAGTCGTGTTTTATTTTGAAAAATACAAAACATTAGGGTATTATCTCCCAATTACATCAGTCGGTGCATCTGTGCCTCTTGACACAGGTTAATTCAGGTCAAAACGCATCCTATCTATAACATCCTATCTTTGTGAAGCGGGATTTTCTGTGGTTACAGCGACCAAAACAAAGCTACGGAGCAGACTGGACATCAGGAGCACACTTCATGTGTCATTGTTTCCGATTACGCTTAGATTGGACCGGTTTGTTTCGGAGAAACAAGCTCAGGGCTCCCACTATTTCAACATATTGGTGAGTTTTATTTTCATACTGTTTGTATTTGATTTTATGCCAGTCGTATCATTTTATTTGATCGCATTTACCCCCATATTTTAAAGGGCGGTCCGTGAAATTATTATCTGACATATAACCGGTCTGTGGCGCAAAAAAGGTTGGGGACCGCTGGTTTAAAGCACAAAAAGAGGGATCATACAGATCTGATGTAATCTGAAGCGATGAGTCATAATCTATTCATAATGGCTTTAAATAGAAATCATAGGAATATTTTTGTCCAACCATAAATATAGAAAATTTATATTATTGCAAAACCATTTCACTTAACCCTTTATGGAGCAAGTTAGGGTTTTTAATCACTTGCAAAACCCTTACAAAATAGTGTCCCTCAGTGAGGTCTAGAAGCACAAGATCTATATCCAGCCGTTCAGCAAAGATGCTGCTACATGGCTGCACATCTTATTTTGGCATTTGACCAATTAGATGAGCTCTTGTAAATTAAGTTTGGGGGGAAAAAAGTTACAAAGTCAAGAAGAAAAAGGTAAAAATCTAATTGAAAAGTTAAAAAGTAAAGTTAAAAGCCTAGTTAACAATTATATTTAGGTTTACAAACTAAAATATGTTAGTGCCAGCATCAGCATTGGGGTTAATATAATAATAATAATCACAAGGTTATGTTGTACCAAAATAAAATGTGTTTCTTTCAATCTGAGTGTTTTTCATGAATGTCTTATAGTAGCACTTTTTTTTTTTTCTTAATATATTCGGGCAAGATGGCGTTTATTGTTATTATATTGAAATTAATTTTTAACCATCAAAATATCCATATTTTTTATGTTACGAAGGTAATAAGATGTTATCCTGTATTCCAATAACACTGAGTGTCCTCTAAAGGGTTAAACTGCTGGATTTCTGTAGATTTAAACTAAATTTAGCGACACAGACTATTAGTGTGGAAAAGAAGGTGTGTGAGTGCAGCAGGGAATCCGGTTTAAAGTGTCAGAGCTGCACACATGAGCCTCAGTGTGAGTTAACCTGATTTAATGCTCAGCCAGCAGCTCTTTATCTGCACACTGATGCCTCCTGTTTGTCTCTGACAGAAACACGCAGTCAGCTGATCTGCTAACAGGCAGCTAATGGAGCCAAACTTCAACCCTTAAACAACATCACATAGTTTCTATTATTTGGGGATAAAGACCGAAACATGTTCAGCTGTTTTACAGACCGGTTAGTTGCATCACTTATATCTAAAATTGAAGTTAGCCTTTGTTAGGTTAGCGCAGCTGTTAGCTTCAGCTAATTGATTTCTGTGCGGTTTAAAATAGATTTGATTTTATTCTCCCAGTTTGCCTTGAATGGCAGCAGAGGAGGAGAACTCACCTGTTCTTGTAGGCGGTAGACATGTCTGCACTGATTAAGCTGGATCCAGAAAGCAGGAATGAATTATTGGACACAGGGAAGTTAGCCTGCCGGAACTTCCGCCTTCACAGTCAGCAGGCGACACTGAACTACGGAGAGCGTCGAGGACCAAACGTACTGATACGCTGAATTCAGTTGGTCTTTTTTCTTCTTTTTTATTTCTTTTTTCTTTTATTTATTATTTGTGTATTTATTTTTTCATTTTATTTATTTATTATATATATATATATAAAAAATATAAAAAAATAATTAAAGAAATAAAAAAATAAAAGATATAAGATTTCAGTTGGTGTTGGGATCTCTAACTCAGTGACGTCATACTAAAAAATTAAAGCATCTAAAAAAGGGATCATTTATTAAATTTAAAGTATTTATATAATCCCTTTATATGTTTCTATTCACTATTACTTTTTTACTTTTATTTAATAACTTTTTATTTTATTTATTTATTTTCTTTTGCTCAAACCCCTGGTGATTGTTCACTGTAAATTGTAATTTGTCTCTGTATGTATTATAACTTTTTTTCTAATAAAGTTTATAAAAAAAAAAAAATTATTCATTTAGTTTTTTACAAATATCTTTGGAGGGATTATAGGCAACGAATATATCACTTGCAGAGGCTTTGTTTCATATTTATAGATAGAACTACAAATATTCTTAAACACTTTACAGTATAGTATTTTATTGTTTATCTTTTAAATCTTCACTAGTATTTTATTCTTATACATTTTCTAAGGTCCACATTTGTGTGACCATTTTTTTTCTATAATATTTTTGTTGCTGTAAACACCAGAATTCATTTCCATATTATGGGACAATAAAGGGAATTTCTATTCTATTCAGATGTCACAGCAGCACTGCTTTTACCAACAGCGGATGAAACTGTGTGACAGATTCAATAACACACCAAGACACAAACTGTGTGTTTACTTAAGCAACTGTTGTTCAAACATAGAAGCCCTCAGCTGATCCAAACTGCAGCAGCCAGAGTTCTGATAAAAGATCTTTAATTATCATGCTCCTCTTCTGTGGAACCAGCTACCAGTTATAGTCTGTGCTGCAGACACTCTGTCTAAGGGTTTAAAATGTTAAAAAGGTTTCTTAAAAACCTTTTAGTCAGAGTGCCTCAAGTGATTGACTTTATTGATCTCACAGTGAATAAATGTACTCGTTACATCAGCTCAAATAGTCAAAGGAGAATAAAAATGTGCATGGCATATATATACAGTATATAGTGCGTCCACGTATGATAGTAGTATTATTATACAGGGTTATTGCACATGGGTATTTATATAGATGGTTATTTATATTAATATATATAGTTATTGCACAGAGTATCAAATAGTAAATTGCACATTATATATTGCACAAGTTGCTGCCGTTGCAGTGTTGCATTGTAGAGTCTGGTTGCAGCAGGGATGAATGAGCTGCAGTAGCGCTCCTTTTTATAAACAGGGTGTAAGAGTCTTTCACTAAAGGAGCTGCTCAGCTCCTCTACAGTCTGGTGCAGAGGGTGGAAGGTGGTGTCCATGATAAATGGAAGCTTGGACACCCTGAGTCATTCAGCTTCAGTTTAAGGCTGAACTAAAACCCAATTTTGTATCTTAAAACCTTAAAACAAATCTGGAAGTTATTCAGACTTTTATAGTGTAATTACCTAAAATATTTTTGTTTTAAATGTCAGACAAGTAATGCTCCTGCTATTGATTTTATTTCACGGCCATTACTTTGTAAACATTCTCATATCCAAAATGTGTTTGTCGCTTTACATCATATATTAAATTTTATTTTATGTCAACATGACAAAATAAATTTGCTTCATGACATTTCTTTAGGTTATACCACTATCTAGTGGTAGAGGGATAAATGACAGTATAGCAAAGTTAATTTGGCTGTTTAAAGTAGCAGAGATTCAAAAAAAAAATGTTTTATTTAATTGTTTATCATTCAGATGGAAGAAAAGAAAACATAACTTTTAGAAAAATAAAAAGCAGGAGTGTTTGAAGCAGAGATTTCTTTTGAAGACTAAAGTTCTGACTCCATCCTAAAGAAAAATATATGCTGTCCTGTTTCTCTGACTAGCTGGATGTTTTCTCTTCATCCTCTGACATGGGAGCTGGCTCGGAGCTCGTCTGCCTGATTGTGTGTTTCCTGGACGGGGCCGCCTTTTACAGATGCTTTTTGTATCTATGCTTCTTTTTCTATCTCTGCTTCTGTCTCCTTGAACCCCAGTGGGCCTCAGCAGATGGCCGCTCACACTGAGCCTGCTTCTTCTGGAGGTTTCTTCCTGTTAAAAGGGAGTTTTTCCTCTCCACTGTCGCTACAAGCATGCTTAGAGTGAGGAATTGCATTCGAGTCAATAAGTCGATGCAATCAACTGGTTTTCTAAGATCTGGTGAACTGGAAAGTGCCTTGAGATGACGTGTTGTGAATTGGCGCTATAGAAATAAACTGAATTGAAATTAAAAGTTCTGAGCATCACTGAATCCACAGTAATAAACACCATCTATTGTTTATCATCTAAGTCATATTTGTTATTTCTTTTAAAAGGGGATTCTGGAGTTAATGCAGTAATTGCAGTGAAGAAACATCTAGAACATAGAATACGTAGAACACTGCTTGTAATCATAATATGTAAAAATCTATATCTTATTTACATTAAAATAACATGCTACTCCCTCCTGAACATAAAACCCAACACCAGTTCATTTAACCACTCCATGTTTATTGCTTATTCATATTTTTACATTAAAGTTGGTGAAGCTACTGAGATCAAGAGAAACGCAACATTTGTTGTTCACTCCGTTTCAGACCAAACTCCTCAGCAGGAAGAGAATAAATCATTCAGAGAAACATCATCAGATAAAGTGTGAATGTGACAGGAGCTGGTTTTTTATTTTTCATAAATAATCAAAAACAGTCGAGCTCGTCTTAAAACAGAAACAAAATAAAACATTCAAATCAGACGGAACAGGAGACTGAAAGCGCTCCTCGGCTTCCTCTGGTTCCAAAAGCGGCGCAGGGCTCTTCCACAGAAACATTTGATCATGGCGGCTCTCAGCTAACACCTGATCAGGGATTAATAAAAGCCCGACTGGAGCCGTAAAAAACCAGAAACCAGATTGGATTAAATCAGAGAAAAGCTGCACATCAGAACCAGGAGAACCACAGCCGATACAGGAAGTAGGTTAAAACATGAGAGCCGATGAAAGGGAATTAGAAATAAAACATTTTACTTCCAGACATGATGAACTGTTGCTTTATTGACTTGATTCGGAGGAAATCCATGGAGGGAGAATTTAAGATTAACTTAATCTGACCGAGTTAAACTAACTAACTGACAACCTCTCAGTGTCAATCGTTTTTAGTCATCAGCAACATTCTTTCTGTTTCATTCTTTCACATCGAGCTAAAACAACAACTGGCCTCCATCTTGGTTTCATCCTAATCCCAAATATTCTGGGTTATTCATTTTAGACGACATTATTACTGAAAATTTGTTCCCGGAGTCAAAGTGAAGAAGTTCTGTTTGGACTTCCATACCTCGGCTACACCTTCCATCAGAACCATCATTCAAAGATTAAACCTTCAGAACCAGAGCGTCTCCCACCGCTAAAGGAATCCCAGGTTTATTTTTCTTCACTCCCA